GGGAGAAGCCTACAGATAAAATGTTGCCATATAAATCTATGCTAGAATACCCTTCTCACGATTAAATGCATAATTTTCGCAAAATATTCTTTGTCTCAGGAGATATTACGCATGCGCGAGCACCGTTTCTGGCGTGCAGTGCGGACTGAAGGCAACTGCATTATATAGCTTGCTGAGAGAGAGCTGGGGTGGGAGGCTGAGGAAAGATGGCAGCGAAGATAGCTGAGGGGTGGTAGAAGAAAAAAGAGGCTGAGCGAGGGACAACGGAGGCAAAGAGAAGGCGGGAGGGGATGAAGTAGGATTTTTGCACCCTACAGGCTAGGGCGCTCTCCCAATTATAAACAGAGGTCTACTGATAAGAATTAATTACATAAATCTGTGCTGCTATACCACCTAACCATATTAAATGCATATTCATCATAAAACATAACTCCTCTGGTGAAATATTGCGCATGCACCAACATACTATCGTAGCCAGATTGTGTACTGAATGGTATATGCAGCAAGCACTTTACATTCAAGACCTTCTTCCTATTTTTTGAGAGAGGCCTACAGATAAAATGTTGTCATATAAATCTATGCTAGAATTCCCCCTCTCACGATCAAATGCATAATTTTCGCAAAATATTCTTTTTCTCGGGAGATATTGCGCATGCGCGAGCACCGTTTCTGGCGTGCAGTGCAGACTGAAGGCAACTGCATAATATAGCTTGCTGAGAGAGAGCTGGGGTGGGAGGCTGAGGAAAGGTGGCAGCGAAGATAGCTGAGGGGCGGTAGAAGAAGAAAGGGGCTGAGCGAGGGACAACGGAGGCAAAGAGAAGGGCTGGAGGGGACGAAGTAGGATTTTTGCACCCTACAGGCTATAGGGCGCTCTCCCAATTATAAACAAAGGTCTACTGATAAGAATTAATGACATAAATCTGTGCTGCTATACCCCATAACCATATTAAATGCATATTCATCATAAAATATAACTCCTCTGCGGAGATATTGCGCATGCGCCAACACACTAACGTAGCCAGATTGTGTACTAAACGTGTGATGTCCGCACGTGTGATGTATGTACGTGTGATGTATGTACGTGTGATGTCCGTACGTGTGATGTATGTACGTGTGATGTCCGCACGTGTGATGTCCGCACGTGTGATGTCCGTACGTGTGATGTATGTACGTGTGTTGTCCGTACGTGTAATGTCTAAGGGGCGGTAGAAGAAGAAAGAAGCTGAGCGAGGGACAACGGAGGCAAAGAGAAGGGCGGGAGGGGATGAAGTAGGACTTTTGGACCCTACAGGCTAGGGCGCTCTTCCAATTATAAACACAGGTCTACTGATAAGAATTAATTTCAGAAATTTGTGCTGAGATACCCCCTAACCATATTAAATGCATATTCATCACAAAATATAACGCCTCTGGTGAGATATTGCGCATGCGCCAATACACTAACTTAGCCAGATTGTGTACTGAATGGTATATGCAGCAGGCACCTTACATGCAAGACCTTCTTCCTATTTCTTGGAAGAGGGCTACAGATAAAATGTTATTATATAAATCTATGCTAGAATAGCTCATCTCAAGATTAAGATAATAATTTTCACAAAATATTCTTATTCTCGGGAGATATTGCGCATGCGCGAGCACCGTTTCTGGCGTGCAGTACGGACTGAAGATAACTGCATAATATAGCTTGCTGAGAAAGAGAGGAGGTGGGAGCCTGTGGAAAGGCGGACGGAAAGATAGCTGAAGAGCCGTAGAAGAGGAAGCAGGCTGATGGAAGGACAAAGGAGGCCGGCGTATAGGACGGGAGGTAGTGAAGAAGCAGATTTGCCTCCTACATGCTAGGGCGCTCTCTCAATTATAAACACAGGTGTACTGATAAGAATTAATTACAGAAATCTGTGCTGCGATACCCCCTAACCATACTAAATGCATATTCATCACAATACATAACTCCTCTGGTGAAATATTGCGCATGCACCAACTCACTGACATAGACAGATTGTGTACTGAATGGTATATGCAGCAAGCACCTTACATGAAAGACCTTCTTCCTAATTCTTGAGAAAGGTCTGGGAATAAAATGTTATCATAAGAATCTATGGTAGTATCAGACCTCTCAAGATTAAATGCATAATTTTCGCAAATTCTTCTTCTTCCCTGGATATATTGCGCATGCGCGAGCACCGTTTATAGCGTGCAGTACCGACTGAAGATAACTGCATAATATAGCTTGCTGAGAGAGCGAGAGGAGGTGGGAGACTGTGGAAAGGCAAAAGGAAAGATAGCTGAACGGCCGTAGAAGAGGAAGCAGGCTGAGGGAAGGACAAATGAGGCCGGCGTATAGGACGGGAGGTAGTGAAGAAGCAGATTTGCGCCTACAGGCTACAGGCCTACAGGCTAGGGCGCTCTCACAATTAGAAACACAGATCTACTGATAAGAATTAATTACATAAATCTGTGCTGCGATACCCCCTAACCATATTAAATGCATATTCATCATAAAATTTAACTCTTCTGCGGAGATATTGCGCATGCGCCAACACACTGACGTAGCCAGATTGTGTACTGAATGGTATATGCAGCAGGCACCTTACACGCAAGACCTTCTTCCTATTTCTTGAGAGAGGCCTACGGATAAAATGTTATCATATAAATATTTGCTATAATACCTCCTCTCAAGATTTAATAGATAATTTTCGCAAAATATTCTTCTTCTAGTAGCGGGGTGACATTGCGCTTGTTAACGTCGTTTCATTAACAGGAGCGGAGATAGTGAAGGTGATCAGTCAACGATGAGACGTATGAAATGTCAAATATGAGTTGTAGCAGGGGTACATGTTATACCGTTCTGTCATACTCTTAGTCCGTGTACAAATGAAACGTATCTAGTTATAATATTAGGTTACAGGTACAATATAAATGGATTCGCCGCGTCATTGTGGCACTTGGCAACCGCATTTGCCGTATTAGCTGCAACGTATAGTGTTCGCTATCTGAAAAGGTCAGGGCAGTTTCCATGCTTTTCAGCAGCTTTCGCTGAGAGCTAACAAGTAGGCCCACTCTTCTCAACTCCTATGTGAGAACAAGAATCCAAGAACAAATGTGGATATAATGATGTGCAATAATTACTTGTCCTGTGATGTTTGAATGCTGCTGCTTTTTTGTCATACTAAAATTCTATAGGCTACAAGATTTTTTGTAACCACATGCGATGCCTTTTGTGTGCGTGCCTGCGTACGTGCGTGTGTGTGCGTGTGTGTGCGTGCGCGCGTGTGTGCACGCGTACGTATTTCACAACACCTTGCATAACTCGCCGTTATGTCACGTATAGGCCTACCCATTACTATGATAAGCCAGCCTGCGATATATGAACATCGGCTTATACGAACATAAAAAAGTAACCTTCTCTTCTGAGATGTTGGCCGCGTGCGGTTCGCCATATCTCTCCCTGACACAATTCTACTTGCACTTTTCCCTCGTGAGCGCACCTCTCGAAGCGGGCAACAACAATGCGTTCATTCACGGCGGTGCGATCTCGACAAACTGAAACAGTAATTACACTCTGGCGTTCTTTTTTCTACTAGGTTACGTATCGAGTTTCACGTATGTTTTGCTACAATCATAGGAGAGAGACTCGCCGCTGTCACCGATGGAGAGAGAACGAGAAAGAGACAGAGGGGTGATAGAACACAGAGCGAGGGAGAGGGGGAGACTACTAAGAGGGAGAGAGGAGAGAACGGGAACCAAATAGTATAAGTGAAAAAGAGAGAAATCGAGAAAAAAAAGGAGAGAGAGAATCCGCGCGCGAGATAGAGAAAGTGAGAGAAAATGTTCAAGAACGCAAAGGAAAGAACGAGAGAGAGAGAGAGAGAGAGAGAGAGAGAGAGAGAGAGAGAGAGAGAGAGAGAGAGAGAGAGAGAGAGAGAGAGACATCGTACCTTGTCTCTTACTCGTTACTCGGAATATACAATTAACGTAATTACTACGTACGCGTGTCCATACAACCTACATCACCAAACTACCCGTCATGGCGGATAAAAAAAACCACGCTTTGACTGACTCCTCGCGTCCACGTGGCTGATCCAGTAATATCGACGATGCGACGTACGGAGTCAGTCTAAAGTACCATGCGTAAATGTCAACATCATAGTCTCAGCGCTACGTTGTGTCAGAAAGATTTCGTCGCTGTTGTGAAGGTTTGATCGGGGCTGGGGCGTCATTAGATACGTAATGCAACCTGATTTCCAGCAATCCTGCAACAATACATATTTCCAGGCATGAGTCAGTATTGATCGCGTGAGAACATTTTTTGTTTGTAAATTTATAAGCGATGTGTTGGAGGCTGTAATGTCGTGACAGTGAAGCGGAAGGACACATTCCGATGTTGAGAGAGATTCCCGCCCCTCCCTCTCCCAACTCCAAACACGCGCGCAAATAATTATGCGCGTGTGATGTTATAATCTGTTTTGGCGGGTAAACGGATAACATATCGCAAATCCTGTAGTGATCTTCTTATGCACGACATCACGGCAAAACCGTTACGCGTAGTGAAACATTTAAACGTGGAAAATCAGAATCGCGCCCACATGCACGCCTCCATCTTATGCGCTGGGGCACCGTTTTCAAAAACACGCGATATTTCCCATAGTCGTGACTTTACGATATTTTTGAGGAATGAGTCCCAGACCGGTTATTTCCCATCTTTCACGATGTCTCGAAACTAAACCACACATCGGCAATATAATACAATGTGTGTTTCATATAACACGGCATTTTGGTCCTGAGCCCACACTGACAGGTATAGGCACACATGTACGAGCAGCCTGCACGGCGGCTACACCCACCTAATGGGAATTATAATGACTAGCGGTGCTTTATCGTAACAATCGCTGTCACGAGTGTTCGTCGCGAACCGGAGACGAGCCATTACCGATCGTCGTACTAACAATGATTACGATAGAGCAAAACACGCGCACACGCACACACGCACGCAAGATCACGCACGCAAATAGATAGTATAGACAGCTATATAAAGCAGTATAGCGAAGCTCATGCTAATACGTACAGTAGTTGTATTCAGGTTGATCGTTATAGTTTATTGGCATGTGATTATCAGTATAGAATGATTCATCATAGGCTAGTACAGCACTAAATAGTCCTGGTTATGTATACAACTACTGTCAAGTACTGCACTGCATATAACTGTCACTCCATGGAAACACCAAAAGTGTCCTGTATAGACAATGACTCTAACGAAACCCCTAACGCGGCTGTTAATAGAGGTGGTTTTACTGTATGACTGCCACTCGTGGGAAATGCTGTCAATGCCCATTATAGACTGGTGCCCATTCTATAGAAGTGTCCGCTAACACAGGTTTGACTGTATGCGAAAATACTGACAATTGATCAGGAAAGGAATCGAGTGATTCAATCATGGACGACCTAGCTCAAATAAATACATACGGTCATGCATCGCGCAATCTTTAGACGTATAAACATTTGGTCTCACCGCCGTGTAGAATGTAAAACCAGAGCAGAAGAGCATTGATCATATAGCAAGTATCACTAGTCACACATGTTTACCACACAGAAGATTTCAGCAAGGATAAATCGGCCCATTCTCCAGGACCGATGTCCATGCCGTACCCTTTGAATAATGCTTTAATGCTTTAGGTCCGTCAAGCTATACCGATTTATACATGACGTGTGTGCCGAAATTCGTTGCGACTCGTTGCTAAGCATTGTTTTTAGAACGTCCTATCGTAACAACGATTGGCTAGGCCAATCACGCCAGGTACATAGGTCAACTTGTATCCTGCTACGTTACTGGCTACAAAGACGAGATGGGTAGCAGCTTCTAACGTCACATCACATGAATGAGCATTGAGTAAAACGGGATTTTTCGCTCGTTAAAATTCACATGAACATCCATATGTAATGTTTACATCGCAGAAAGGTCAACACTAGGTGATAGCTAGGTGAATGCTCTTTCAGAACAGCACAACCTTAATATCTGATCAGGACACTTGTGTATAATGATCACTACCTTTGACCAAGACTAAAATAGCGCCCCTAAAGTCTAGTGACCTCTATCTCTGACCAGGAATGAATGATCAAGCTCCCACAATGATGGTTGCTGGTGCTGCAGCTACACACGCCCTATGCCCCTCTCTTCTTAATCTAGGTGGAGGCACAGTCTCGGATTCGCTTGGCTTCCTTGCAGGCGACTCGGCTCGAGGCGGGACAGGTCCGGTGAAAGACTTCGTCCCTCATACATGTGCGTCTGCTCTCTCGGTTTCTCCGCACATCGTCTAAGGTAGGGAACTTCTGCTATCGTTTTCTCTTCAACCTGAAACGCGTACATCGAGTGAGTTTGCTTCTGTGTAGTTGTGCTGCATCGGTATGACTCGGGGGCTGACCCACGTAGGCATGTGCAAACATCCTGCCTTCCCTCCCTCTGTACCTTCTTACCCCCCTCAGGCTGAGGGCGGCAAGGCAATAGCCATCTTTGTATGGGTGAATGAATGAGCCCAGCACTGCATAAAGTGTTGCTATTGCAAACGGTAGCAAGCACGCGCAAATAGGACAAACAACCATTAATTATACAAAATATGTATAAATGAGGATCTCTACAGAATAAATAGTCATATATGTCCTTTATACACAGGTGTCCGTTGTATAGAGGTGGTTTCACTGTATAACTGCCACTTGAGGAACACGCCACGCGTGTTGTCCTTTACGGACAGGTGTCCGTTCTATAAATATGACAGCTAACACGAGTTCGATTGTAGAAAGCAGGAATGACTAACTCTCGGCATCCGCGCATGCTAGAGTTCTCACGATCTTCCTCGCCGAAAGCACAAGCCCGACAAAAAACGAGTAACAAAGTTTTGTGGCATTAATCTGCAAGCGGGAGCGGTAAAACCACGTCCCCGCTACGATCTTAACTATAAATATCGGACGGAGGGATTACGCTAGGTGCTACTCCTCGGGCAGATTACACGACCCAGACGAGAGACCGGATACCAGAGAAGCGTCGCCCAAACAAGGTGTTGATCCTGACCGCTGAGCGCAGATCTTGCGCGCAATTCCGCAGCAAGGCGCACGCGACCGCGGGAACGTCCTACGAAAGTATCACGCGCTGGCAGCTATTGATCCGTGCGCCAAATCCAAAGGTCGGCGCACGGATCAATAGCTCCCAGCAAACAGTCTCGAATTTTAGCGGGTCTAATTCACTACCAAACATATGCACACGACATCGCGCAGGTCTAATTTCATGAGAATCACTGAAGAACTGCTCCGTCAATCACGAGAAACGGAAGAGAAATTCAACGACCGCGAAATATACAGCTTAGTTATACAGTATTAGCCTATGACCGTGTGCTGTGTGTGTACGACTGCCTTGTCTGTATATAGCTTCGTGGCGCCATCTATCAGAGGAAAAAGACAAGCCGGTGCGGGGGGGCGGGGCGTTACCCACAGCATGTCACGTGACGAAATCGTGATTGGGAGAGAGAGAGAGAGAGAGACGGTCTAACACGCGTATAACGCACTTTCACCATGCCATATGCCACATGTTCCTGTGTAGACTGTAGGCAGGCTGCAGCCGCTCGTGTAAAAATCTGGGCACATGACACGGCGCGTTGGTCGGCTAGAAGCGGCCACGTCACCGAGTAAACATCGTGATTGGCATTCGGTGGGCGTAATGATTGAGGTAATTAGGGTTATTTAAGGATTATAACCATATTAAATGCATATTCATCATAAAATATAACTCCTCTGCGGAGATATTGCGCATGCGCCAACACACTAACGTAGCCAGATTGTGTACTAAATGGTATATGCAGCAGGCAACTTACATGCAAGACCAATTCTTGAGAGAGGCTTTCGGATAAAATGTTATTATATGAATCTATGCTAGAATACCTCCTCTCAAGATTATATGCATAATTTTCGGAAAATATTTTTCTTCTCGGGAGATATTGCGCATGCACGAGCACCATTTCTGGCGTGCAGTACGGACTAAAGATAATTGCATAATATAGCTTGCTGCGGGAGAGGAGGTGGGCGACTGAGGAAAGGCGGAAGGGAACATAGCTGTGGGGCCGTAGAAGAAGAAGCAGGCTGAGGAAAGAACAATGGAGGCCGGTGTATAGAACGGGAGGTGGTGAAGATGCAGATTTGCCTTCTACAGGCTAGGGCACTCTCCCAATTACAAACACAAGTCTACTGATAAGAATTAATTACAGAAATCTGTGCAGAGATACCCCCTAACCATATTAAATGCATATTTATCACAAAATGTAACTCCTCTAGTGAGATATTGCGCCTGCGCCAACACACTAATGTAGCCAGATTGTGTACTGAATGGTATATGCAGCAGGCACCTTACATGCAATACCTTCCTCCTATTTATTGGGAGAGAGCTACAGATAAACTGTTATCATATAAAGCTATGCTATAATACCTCCGCTCAAGATTAAATGCATAATTTTCGGAAAATATTCCTCTTCTCAGGAGACATTGCGCATGCGCGAGCACCGTTTCTAGCGTGCAGTGCCGACTGAAGGCAACTGCATAACATAGCTTGCTGAGAGAGAGCCGGGGTGGGACGGTAAGGAAAGTTGGCAGCGAAGATAGCTGAGAGGCGGTAGAAGAAGAAAGAGGCTGAGCGAGGGACAACGGAGGCAAAAAGAAGGGCGGGAGGGGATGAAGTAGGACTTTTGTACCCTACAGGCTAGGGCGCTCTTCCAATTATAAACACAGGTCTACTGATAAGAATTAATGACAGAAATCTGTGCTGCTATACCCCCTAACCATATTAAATGCATATTCATCATAAAATATAACTCAGTTGGTCGGCTAGAAGCGGCCACGTCACCGAGTAAACATCGTGATTGGCATTCGGTGGGCGTAATGATTGAGGTAATTAGGGTTATTTAAGGATTTCGATAGTTTTTGGTGCGCTTTTAAATCCACAAAATTTTCTCGTGCTAGTCCATGACATGCTTACCAGCGAACCCTGTTTCAAGTCAGTCACTGTTGCCCACGAATTCAGATTAGTCAAATTCCCATGCAATTCTGGTATGATTTATGCTACCAGAACAGCAGTACTTAGGAGAAACATGCCGCTCCATATATGAACTCAAACCTTCGGTTTGCACAAGGACGGGGCGTCCTACGGGGGCACGGTTACGTCGAGACTCGTTGTTTCTTGACACGTAACACCACCATCTTTACGCGTTCGCATCGCCACCGAGTGGCACGTAGTGTCCGTAGCGCCACCTGTCTGGTTGCGTCCACGTGATGAAGCTTCTAATATTGTGAAAGTGCATTGGTCTATGTACGTGCAGTGAGGAGAGCTACTGTAGTGCCACCTGTCTAGGAATGTTCGCTTGATAAAGCTTCGATTAGTGAGATGCGAGTGTGATGTACAATAATTTGCGTGCAGTGATGGTGCAAGAGGAGTTATTCTAGGCAGCATTCATTCTCATCATTATCAGCAGCAGCAACAGCAACAACACAACAACAACAACAGCAACAACAACAACAACAACAACAACAACAACAACAATAGCAGCAGTAGCAGCAGTACTAGTAGCAGTAGCGCCGACAGCTAAGAAATGCATTGTTTCACACATCATTAGCATCCCCCACCAACATCATCCCCATCATCCCCATCAGCATCCCCATCAGCAGCCACCATGCGATCAACACCTAAAGGCAGACAGCGGGAAGCACCAAGCCTACAAGCGAAATAAGTGCAGTAGTACCGATGCAGTAACGCAACTTACTTTCCCACCTGCTGCTGTTTGAAGCAGCTCGACTTTGAGTCTGCCGCCTTCCTGCAATGTAACACGTCGTCGCAAATTAAACTATAATGCATTTTCCGCACGACGGCAACACCGGCTAAGATTGGGCGCAGGGCCTGGTTAAATGTTTGCCCACAGAAAGAAACTGCAAGAACGAGTAATGCGCCCACAGTGCCTGAAAGAAAATACTATTTAAAAACATCGCAATTTGGCCTGGTTTTGAATCGAAATCTCACTGATTATCGCCATAAAGTTGTGACTCAAGATTTCAAGCATTAACACTTGAAAAAGCCTATTACAAACACGATTTTTTATTACTCTCGAAGGTCAAAGAGTTATTCAATCTGTCAGCGATTTTTGTATGTAAATAAAAAAACCATTTGACCAACAAGAAACAACGTGACAACGCGAAATAGTGAATCCACGGGCGAAGCTTACTTTGCATTCGAGCAGTCCACGCACAGCGTCTGCAGAAACTTTGGTGGCGCACCGCCCCTCTGCCGCGTGTACTGCAAGAAAAATAATTAGACAGGTATTTAGACTTTGCATACACATGACAGATGCAGGTAACAGAATAGATATTCTCAATAAATAAACCTTGAATATCTCCTTTGCAGTATACATGCACAATTTATTATTGTTAGGATTTCATCATTCAAACCCAAAATTGTCCTCTACTTTCCCCTAGTTTCAGCACGTGGTTACATGTCATATATTATGTGATCTAACTAGCTGTATGATTAGTGAGTTGAGCTCTCATTCACTAGTTAGGTCTTGAGTATTGCGACCAGACGAGTCTTCGCTAAACACTGACAGTGGTCACTACCAGAGTGTTTTACATCCTCAGTGGTTCTTTTATGTCCCAATTAATGGATACGGCTGAATAACTGCTAGAACCCTGTATGAGACCCCCTGTAGGCTGCAGGCTATAGCCGTAACTCGTGCACCCATTGCAACACACTACTCTAGCTACTAGAACACTGTCTAGGAGCCGTGAGTGTATACTGTAGCCCTACACCGTGTGCAACCACTGTAGCACACAGTGCCACACACACTGCTCTAGCCGCAAGAACCCTGTGCGAGACCCCCTGTAGACTGTAGCCTTACCTCGTGCACCCACTGCGCGCTGATGCTCCCCGGGCGACGGGTGCCGCACTGCGTGCACATGCCGCAGTCCTCGCATACCCAGCGCCCCGTGGGGATGTTGCGAAGGCCGACGCAGAACGTGTGGTAGCCGCGGTCGCACATGTCGCAGAACATCATCTTGTCCTGGCGGATAGACAGCGTAGAGTGAGCGTGAGGCGGTCGGTGGAGAGAGATACGAAGGAGACTACACGTATTCATACGTTCCTGTGGACGCGGACAGGGCACTCACACGCGTACGCATGCGCGCATCCACGCACTCACGCGTGTGCACTCGCACACACACACACACGCGCACACACACGCAACTAGACAGAGGGCACTCACGGAGAGTGCATACCTCCGCGAGCATGTAACATGTATGTGCTCGCTGGTGGCGGCTGCTGACTGACTCGCCGCTCACTGGTGGCTGCTGCTGACTCGCCACTCGCTGACCCGACGCGCTGGCTGACTCGCCGCTCACTGGTGGCTGCTGCTGACTCGCCACTCGCTGACTCGACGCGCTATCGATCGCGCGGTGGCTACACACGCACACGAGACCGATTACATGACCTCCGTTGCGCGGAGGTAATAACGCACACACGTGCACACACACACGCACACGCACATGCACACGCACAAGCACACGCACACGCACACGCACACGCACACGCACACACACACACACACACACACACACACAATGCATGCACACACACGTGCGCATGCACGCTCGCACAAAAATGCACATATTCACACACACAATGCAGGCGCACACGCACACACATGTAAATATAAAAGTACTTGCACACGCACACACAATAATTTCAGCACAATGAGCTAAATTTTCGTCAATTTATTTTAATTTTTTTTTGTTAAATTTCCATCGGCAGCAATCACGGGTTCTAATTGATATGCTTAAATCATGAAACTATCGTCCCACACAACTGTCGCACAACAAATATAAAATAAAATTACAACCAACTTGTTTTTCTAGAATTTGGGGAAAATAGCAACTTTTTCTAACCAAACATATCTTCCAACAGATGCATTTTCATTGGCTGGATGCTTTTCACACGCGACGCCACCTGTCTAGAAATGTAGTCACGACACACAAAATCGCTCGACAACTTATTAAAACCGCGAACATAAAAGCATCTACTCCCTCTTGACACCAGTCAGCTGGCAACAGGGAAATGCCATAAGCGGCTTATACTTATAGAGGTCTAGTGATCAAGAGAAGAAGACCTTTGCTGCCATCGGACTGCGTTAATTGCAGCGCGCAGTAATCCTCATGTGTGTTCGTACTACAGGATGAAACCACGCTGTGCGGTAAATACGACTAAAGCTGTGCCTCCCACTCCTCCCCCTTCTATCTCATCATAACCATATTAAATGCATATTCATCATAAAATTTAACTCTTTTGCGGAGATATTGCGCATGCGCCAACACACTGACGTAGCCAGATTGTGTACTAAATGGTATATGCAGCAGGCACCTTACATGCAAGACCAATTCTTGAGAGAGGCCTACGGATAAAATGTTATTATATGAATCTATGCTAGAATACCTCCTCTCAAGATTATATGCATAATTTTCGCAAAATATTTTTCTTCTCGGGAGATATTGCGCGTGCACGAGCACCATTTCTGGCGTGCAGTACGGACTAAAGATAATTGCATAATATAGCTTGCCGAGGGAGAGGAGGTGGGCAACTGAGGAAAGGCAGAAGGGAACATAGCTGTGGGGCCGTAGAAGAAGAAGCAGGCTGAGGAAAGGACAATGGAGGCCGGTGTATAGAACGGGAGGTGGTGAAGATGCAGATTTGCCTTCTACAGGCTAGGGCGCTCTCCCAATTACAAACACAAGTCTACTGATAAGAATTAATTACAGAAATCTGTGCAGAGATACCCCCTAACCATATTAAATGCATATTCATCACAAAATATAACTCTTTTGGTGAGATATTACGCATGCGCCAACACACCAATGTAGCCAGATTGTGTACTGAATTGTATATGCAGCAGGCAGTTTACGCAAGATCTTCTTCCTATTTCTTGAGAGAGGCCTACGGATAAAATGTTATCATATAAATATTTGCTATAATACCTCCTCTCAAGATTAAATAGATAATTTTCGCAAAATATTCTTCTTCTAGTAGCGGGGTGACACTGCGCTTGTTAACGTCGTTTCATTAACAGGAGCGGGGATAGTGAAGGTGCTGATGAACGTTCATCGGTTACCGCAACCCCGAGTCTGTCCCAACAACAATATAACATGATGCTGAACTGCTGGCTTCACCATCTCTAATAGCGGCAGTAGCAGCTATATTTATATTGAAATACGGCTCTTTTAAATTGTCAGAACCACTATAGACGATGTTGTCATGATTTCTTCGATTAATTATCAATATAAAATATCTGAGGCTCTTTGTACGGGGCGCCATGCAGGACAGGGCTCAATTCTGTCACCCCCCCCACCCCCCCCCGAGGGCCGGTTCCACAAAACTCACACATGCTATCTGTCACACGAACCACGACACAACAGGCTCACCTACTTATATCGACATCGAACCCGGTTCCACAAAACCAATGGTCACGTGTAACTAACAAAACTCAATTCTGTCAATCCTGTTCAGCAAAACTCAATTTTGTAAACCAAAAGCTCAATTCTGTCGGAACCGGTTTCAGAAAAATCGATTTGTTCCCAAATATGGCACACGCATGGTAAGAAGGGACTACCTGAATTGAGTCAGAAGAAACAAGATGGCGACCATGAACACACATTTCTCGGCAGGCCCAGTTTCTGATCCGAATGGTAGGCCCTGATCTCTCGACATGTCACGTGCTACAGCATACTTTGGGCATACAGAAATCGAGGTTTTGTGGAAACCGGTTCGATCAGAATGTGAGTTTTGGTGTTTACAAAATCGTGAGTTTTTGTGGAACCCACACACACACTGCGTTAGTGCTTCCGGATCGGGATTCAGAGTTCACGACAGATAAACATTTGAGTTTTGTGTGTTAGCAAAATATGACGTTTTTGTGTGGAAGCCGGTTCGACATGAAATTGGAGTTTCTGTGTTCAACTCAATGTGAGCTTTTGTGGGACAGCGCTATGGTCATGATAAGAATTTTTTTGTAGTTTCCTGTGTGTCCTACAGCACAGGGGTGGGAGATAACACATATTCTTGTCAACTGGTCTATGAGAATTGATGGTTATTATTTCTGCAGAACGGACACCTTACGGACTCCGACAGCTGAGACCGTCTGCGAGACTACTGACGTCATCGTCGTCATCGATGCGCAAATAAAATGGACTTGTCCTCTGATGCAGTTGCAGCGCCGGCGTACTCGCTTGATTCTGGCTACGTAATTGCTTGACGTTGGTGCCTATAATCAGACACACAAGAGGTCAGATGTTTTTTACACACACGAAGGCTAGTAACGACCTCCGACTTTGTGCATGTTCTGTCGGATGGTATTTAGTACCGCTTACGCGTAGTAAGGCTTCATAATCAATCTTTGAATACAAAGAGACTACAGTTATGTACATCGCTTACACACACATTATATTGCCTAACCCAACCTCACTGACGAACTCTTCACGCATATTTATTATATATGCATCCGTAGGTGTTCTTCTGGAGCGGCTGTATGGCGCTCACTCTCCATGTTGATAGTTGTGTATGTCGTATGTCGAGTGCTTATAGTTAGCTGTGTGTGATGTAGTGTGTGTTGTGTCGTAGTAGCGGTATGAGATATGTCGTCGACTCGAGGAGACTGTCAAGCGTGAGTTGAGGTGTGTTTGTGTTGGTTGTGTAGTGTGTGGTGGCTAGGGTGTTGATGGTGCGTAGTGCCACAGCAGTGTTTTGTTGTCAGGACTACACACACACACACACACACCCACACACACCACACACACACACAACCTACACGCTCACAACTATCAGCTCATAACACTTCTTTACAGTCACCAGTCAGTCAAGCCAAGGAAAGTATATAGTCTAATATTCACCAGGTTGTATATGTGAAAGATGCGCCCGCGTGACATGATAGCATCGGATATAAAAGTCCCAACCTGGAGGTTCCATACTTGACCATCAGGCGTCATATATATGAGGTGGCGTAAGTGTGGCCTAAAACTAAACTGGCGTTTTATAAACATGGGTCACGGAAGAATATTGGCCACACTTCTAGGGATTTATTGCCTGATTCGACAATCGAATTGCTCTATTACACTAACATCGTGTTAACGCCTTATCTGAAAAGGTCAGGGCAGTTTCCATGCCTTTTCAATTGAGCAGGCGTGTTCGCTCTTGAGTAAGTCTTAACACCGACAAGTACTCTTTACTGTAACTACTTATAGATCTTCGCTTAGTCTTGACGTATAGGAGAAGAAGAATTTCCGGGCAAGAATACGTATCCGAGTTGTATGGATTATAAGCAAAAATCAGGATCAGTAACAAAGCGCAGGAAAGTAGATTACTTATCATTGATACTGCTGTGATGGTATTTGGATGACTTTCCAGAGGCCTGGCTGCCGCTCGTCCATTTTTTATATTTGTATACCCTCCATAATTACTTTCTACTAGTGAGGCCTACAAGATATTTTTTGCGTAACCGCATATGAATGCCTTTTGAGTCGTGCCTGCGTAACGTGCGTGTGTGTGCGCGTTTAATTGAGGCACTGAGGCTGGATGTTCCGGCATGTCCCACGTGTATTTGGGACTGAATGACGTACGGGATATTCCTCACACAGATCGTGACAGCGGGTGACTAGCAGCGTCAGCCGTAACAACAACGCGTTTGCATGGAGACTCGCCCAGAGAGGATCATGGCATGGGACACGTCACTAGACTCCCGCAATTAAGATTAGCGATATGATATGACTACTAGGCACTTAGTGATATGACTACCTAGGCCGCACTTAAAAAAAAACCCTAACCCTAACCCTAATTACATACTACATAGAAAACACTAAACCTAGACCTGCTAAACCCCAGTGCCCTCGACTAACCGATACTACTTAAAAAGAAAAAAAAACAAATTAACAAGAGAATGCATAATGATGACCTCGAAGTCAAGTCTCATATATAAATGGCGCCTATTCTATACTGCGCTGGTCTCGCGCAGCCAACACCAGC